AAAAAGTAGATAAACCTGGTTCATCAGTTGAAGAAACCCTCGCAGACCTATTGAAGAAAGTAGGTGACAGCTACAACCCCAAGAAGAAGAAAACTTCAATGGCTAAGACCCTTGGCACTGCTAGGGCTAACAAGAAAAGGAAGGCTGCTCCTTCTGACACTATTGAAATTCCTCCCATAAGAGGAAGAGTGACAAGAAGTCAACTAAAGCAAAATGAGGAAGAGATGCAGAAAGCATTAGAAGAAAGCAAAAAGAAACGGATGGACAAATGGAAGAAGAAAGTGGGAGAGCCTGTTGAGGCTGTTGATGCGGATGAGATGGACCTGGTCCATCAAGATGAAGATGAAAATGCTGAAGTGGAGGTTCAGACTCCCAAGCCCAAGAAAGCCAAGACTTCCACTAAGAAGTCTACCCCTATGTCAAAGTCTGCAGTGAAACCCCAAACAAGTAAGAATTGCTGAAGAAGAGGAATGGAGTGGAGAAGAGGAAGATGAATCAGACAGTAAAAAGGACAAGATGGTCAAGTTTGGCAAAAGAACTATTCTGAAGGGTGGACTCCTCAAGGATTTGGAGGAGGAAGGGATGGTGCTGCTGTTGGAAAAATTAGAAGTGCAAGGCTGGAAGGACATAGTCCTTCAGAAGGATGGCAGACTGGCTAGGGATGAAATAGTTGAGTTTATGGCAAATGTTGCGGTACAGGATGGAATGGTTACCAGCTTGGTGAAAGGGGTGCAAATCTCTTTCGATATGAAGGAGTTGAGTGAAATTCTAGGTGTACCTGCTGAGGGGTACAATGACTACAAAAAGTTTAAGTGGCCAAGTCTAAAAAATCTTCCCACTGCCCTTGCCATCACCAGAAAATTCAGTGATCATGAGCAGGAAAGTGAGCCCAAGGCTGTGTACAAGAGTGCGATGAAGCTACCCCACAAGGTGCTATTCGAATTCATTATCAAATGTGTTCTACCAAGGCAGGAAAAGAGGCACATTGCAAGCTTTATGGATTTGGTCCTCATGGAGTGTTTAGACAATGGGAAGCAGATTAATTGGCCTGGATTTATAATCCAGCTTCTTGATAGGGTTATCAGTGGGACTAAGTCTCATTCCATTCCCTATGGCTTCATTCTCACAGCTGTGCTTGCACATTTTAAGGTGCCTTTGAAGAAGTGGGAGGTAGTTACAAACAAAGATCACTTCGGGGCGAAAACTCTGATTGCTTGTGACTATGAGGTTCTTGCCACTCCTAATGAACATGGTTTATCCAAGAAGGCACCAATAAATAGCAAGGTCAGAGCCTTGGTGCAGGAGAGTGAGGCAAAGGAGGCTGAGATAGCAAGGCTGAAGACAAGGTTGGGTGAGGTAGAATCTGAGAGAGATGCTCTCAGAACTGAACTTGCAAGCAAAAAGGAGAAGAATGATGGAATTCTTCAAGACATGCTGAAACTTCTCCAAGCCAATAACCCAACACCTAGTTCTTCCAAGCCTTAACCTCCTAGCCTAGTGTAGTTCCTTCAGTGACCTAGTTTGGGATGCTTTTCTGTTTGCTCATGTTTTCAGTATTTTTATTTCTGTTTATACTTTGTGGAAGAATCATATCAACTATCAATGAAATCAATGAAATCTGCTGGTTTTTGCTCTAACTGTTTGTTTATATTTCTTTGATGATTGAACTTCTTAGCTTGATCAATGATGATTGATCCATGATTGCATTTGGGATAGCCACAATGGCCATGAGTAAGTTGTAAAATCTAGGTATTGCACATTTTTATGCAACTTTTCGATGATGCCAAAAGGGGAAAAAAGGTTGTGCTTTAAACAACTGATGTTTAGCTTTGAACAGTGATGTTTATAACCTAATGAACCTGGTCATTGATGATAAGTGACAAAAAGGAAAAATATTTCTAACATTGTGTTGATGTTGAGCTAAGTTGAAACAGGGCCTAAGCTTATGAAAAGCACAGAGTTTGTCATCATCAAAAAGGGGGAATTTGTTGGCCCAAGTGAAGGTTAGTTTTGAAGATTGACAAAGGAAGCTCAGGCATGAACCAGGCCCATCCCTTATGGTGCATAGAAACGGGCAGATTCGAGCATGTGGGATGCACGTGAAGGAGTTAAGCTTAACTTGGTATATTTAATATCTCCTAATCGAAAAGGTTGCATAACTGATAAGGAGAAGGACTCTTTACTCAAAGAGAACACTGTCCAAGATAGGGAAGGAGTTAGAAGTTGAGATCAACTAGAACTCTTCCACCAAGGAAGAGCAGCATTTGAACTCTAGTTATTTCTTCATCTACTAACTCTATATATTGCAAGATGGTCTCATGTATAGGTAATGCACAAACGCAGAAGTTAAACGTGAATTGAGAGCAAAATAGCAAGGCTTTTTGCAAGCAGTTCGTGTATGATTCAAGTGTGCAAACCTGAAGATACATGAACCAGATAAAAGAACTAGTTCCAAGTGTCTGTCTTTTATTCTAGTTCAGTTGTAGTAGGTATTTTCATATTGTACCTTTCAGCTTTATCTAGAGGCAATTGTAATAGGTACTCAGAGTATTCAAGCTAGAGTTAACTTGAGGCTGTCGCAACAATTAGAGGTTGTTTGCCACAACGGGATTAGAGTTAATGCTAGGTTTACAAAAGTGTTTTTTAAATGCAGTTTTTGGCTCAGTGATTTAGTGGAGAGTTTGGAAAAATCCTACTTGAAAGTAGGTCGTGATTTTTTCACCTTTTGAGCCAGGTGTTTTCCATTTAGAATACTTGTGTTCTTTACTTTCCGCATTTACTATTTCTGCAATAGTAGGTTAAGGAACACTTAGAAGAACCGGGTCCTTCCATAATCAGTTTAAGCAAAAAATTGGACACCACACAAATCACCCCCTCTTGTGTGGTATTGAAGTTAAAACATCACAAAGAAAAATAAATTTTTGCATACGTGTTTCAATCTCTTATTCATATTCGTGATATTGTAACTCGGATAGTAACTTTTTGTAGGACCAGGTTGTCTGAAATTATAGTATATAGTCGCATTTAAGAAATACTAAAGTTTTTAACAATCTTTTCTTGAAAAGGAATGTGTAAAATATAAAGTATTTAGTATTAAGTCTCGTCCAGCATACATGTAAAGACCAAACATTACTAGAAGCACTTTAGGCATCGAAGTACTAAAGATAGGAGGCATTTATGGAATTGAAATTTTGATGGGCTCAAAAAATGATTCGGAATTGCGATTTTTAATCATAGAATTTTGAATTCCATGCCCATCTCCGTACTGGTAAATGCTCTGTCCCGTTCTTGCAATATTTACCCCACATCTAATGAATGCTTCAGAAAATATTGCATTTTCCTGTTGAGCCGTGTTGATCAGTTTCCATGTTTCTTTTATCAAAGAACTGATGTGTTTCCTTGCATCTTCTTCAGAAACAGCCTTCTCATTCATGTAACATTGAATTGACTTGGCAACATCACCTCTTTTCATTTCATCCTGAAGCAAGAGGAAAATATATACTATATATAATATACTACGTATAACAAGTAAAATTACACTGACCTATATAATTTACGAATTCTGTAAGTGTATCTAAATTAAAATCTAATGAAATTTAAGTTTTATTTTGAAGGAGGAACTTGACCCTGTGTAATTTAAATTTATATAGACATAATTTCATCGCACTTGTTTGTACCATACACCCAAGAAAACGTGAATTTGGAATACAAACTTAAATCACAATACGTTCACTAGATCCTTATTTTGAATTCGTTTGACAACAGTATTTCAAAACTTGTCATTTGCAATCACAAAATTTTGAAATTTACAATTTTTCAAAGGGAAATATGATCAGTTGTATAAACAACGTAACCCTTATATTGAAAAACTATACATTAATTTAATAGACAGAATTTTTAATAGTAATTAACTTTCTTCGTATTTTGAACAAGTACTCAATTTTGGTTATACAAGAGGTTCAATTGCATGATTTTCAAATAATGAGGTGTATCTGCAGTTAAATAATATTACGGAGAGCACATAAATTTTATATCATAGGTAAGGGTTAAAAAAATCTTACGGATGTTGTCGCTAAATCATCGGCAAGACGAATAATTGTAGCAGACCAACGAATAATGTCAGGGTACTTGCTTAAATATTCCAGCGCCTCTTTGGTAATTGGATTCGTGACAAAGAAGAATGCATTGAATACTATAACAAGACTTCCAACTGAAATCCATGCATTATCCATGTATTCTTCCAGAGTTGGTATATACCCTTTGTAGTACCATCTTGCTTCTTGTAAGTAAGCTTTGCACAAATCTCCCCACTAATTAATAAAAATAAGCAGATTAATGTGTTTTTTTTTTTTTTGGGGGGGGGGGGGGGGGGGGGGAATGAATTAAGAAATTAAAATACATGATAAAAAGATTCAAAGTAGAACTAAGTATTTACTGATTTTCTAAGGTAGGGTATGATGTTGATCCCTTGCTCTTTGAGAACTTCATATGCAATTTCAGTGACTGTGTTGAAGAGTGCAAGGTAACATACTTTCATATAGTCCGGAAGATGATCAATCTCTTTTAGGTCCATTCTGAATGTAAAAAAAATCAAAGAGGAAGGCCATTAATGAAAAAACAAATAAAGGTGTAACAACTAAGAGAAGATGTATATATCATCTTAGAGTATTAAGTAAAGAGTGAAAATATATTTAGAGAGTTGATGAACATACGTGAATTCAAAGCAGAAAAAGCTATAAATAGTCCGTTCATGAAATTAAAAGGCAAATACTCGTTATTTATTCATTATTTTGTGACATGTAATATAAATTGAGTAGTGGTTAATAAGTGTTCATGAAAGGTTCAAAATATCTAACAAGAGTATTGAAGATTACTAAGATTAATTCTTCATCATGTTTCTACTGGTTATTACATAACAAGAGTATGTGTGGGTTTTGCTAACATACTACATAGTTGTAGTAGGTTAGCAATGTATACATTTTAATTTGCCCAAAATACCCTTATTATTTCTTGCCATTTCATTAAATATATGGACCTTTTTGGGGGGTCATTTTGGGGGAAAGACAAAAAGGTCCATATATTTAATGAAGTGGCAAGAAATAATAAGAGTATTTTGGGCAAATCAAAAGTGTATAGATTGCCAACCTACTATAACTATGTAGTATATATATATATATATATATATATATATATATATATATATATATATATATATATATATATATCCACACACTTATCTTCGTTAAAAAAAATTTCTTCCCATAAAGAAGGAAGTAATTCCCGCCATAAATTAAAAAATGAAAACAAATCGATACAGCTACTTATCTACATGCACAATATTTAGAGATATATATAGTGACTAATTTCTGACCTTTCAACAGCATGAGTGAAGAGTTCCAACTCATCAAGAGTGCCATAGACATCATAAATATCATCTATAACTGTAGCCATAGCAGTGACTCTTGTCAACAGTGTTCGGCAGTTCTGGTTCTTTTGAGGTTCAAACATCATCCCCACTATCCATAAGAAAGCTTCAACAATTCTATCCCTCGTAAATGGCAATCTTTCTGCAAGGCATGAGTTCTTCCACCACCTTAATTTACATGAACATTAATGCGTCAGATACCCCGGATATATATATTTTTTCTCTCGAATTTAACTTATATCCACAAATTGTATAATAAAAAATTTACACCGGATCCCGTGCAAACAGCCTCTTGCAGAAATACAGGGTTAGGCTGCGCACAATAGACCCTTGTGGTCCGGCCCTTCCCCGGACCCCGCGCATAGCGGAAGCTTAGTGCACCGGGTTGCCCTTTTAGTGTAATTTTGTCTTGTTCGTTAAGATAGTAATTTTACTTATTATTATGGGTAGTTAATTACTCATCAAATGACCTGATAGTCATGTAAAAAACTTTTACATTATTAATACTCAATTGATCTCTCACCTTGATAGATTTCTTAAATCTTCTTGGTGTGTTGCTTGAACAACGTTGAAGTCCAACTTAGCAAGCTCGAGCAGAAGAGGATTAGCATTTGGAATTCTTTCATATATGTTTATGTACCACCTTGTCTCAACTCTCAACATCATCCAATGCAAAGGAAGTTCCAGGGCATGGCGTACTAATGCGACTGTCACGTTGTCTACACTATTTTGATTGTTGAGATAATTCTGTAGTTGTGACATTGCAGATATATTGGCGCACTCTAGAAAAGTGCTTTCATTTTCTGTAGAGAGAAATGAAGCTTCATATAATTGTAACAACCCTTCTATATCTTTACAGAGACTTTGCTTGAAGTTGCCCTGCTCATCCTTGAAATCGTTCAGTATATCTAAAATACGAGAAGAAATTAAATAGTGGTCAAAACATGCATAAAAATGACCAAACATTAGAAACATAAGAAAAGAATTAAGGAAATTAGTTTGGCAAAAATAGGTACAGTACCTTGAGAGATATGAAAACCATGTTGTCTCAAGAGTCTAAATTTCAGGGCTGTGGCATATAATGAATCTCCTGAGGATGCATTTAGGTGTATGCTACTCAAAATTTGCATGATTTCATCGTGGAAGTGGTAACTTACTCCAAGCCTTTGTAAATTATCAATTAGCTCCAACTTATCTAATTCTTCTGATCCCTCATTAATCATTTTCATCATCTTCTCCTTCATTTCCTTCTTCAGTTTGTTAAACCGTTTGATATACTTCTCTCCCTACGCAAAGGTTACAAATCACATTAATTTACGAACGATGAGCTCTGAATTATTTACGACTATAATCATATGTGCTGATTTTTGAATAACAAGAAAAAAAGATGTGCTAAACAAATGTAATTATATTACCACATAATCATTGTGTATGGACTGAATGTATTCAAAATCCCAGGTGGTAGGTTCGTAATTCCCTGAACGCCGAATGGGATTATGATCTGAAGATGATGAAAGATTAGTGGAAATAGTAGAGTGATTAAGTGGTGGTTCAGCTTTAGAAAGGCAGGATATTTTTGATGATTTTCCAGGGGTAAAAGAGGGAAAACAGGTATTAGGTGGTTGAGGTCTTCTGGAGGTGGCCATGGGTAGTAACCCTACGTTGCTGAATAATATTGCCTCCATTGATATTTTCAGTTCAATGTCTCTAAAATATCTTACTCCAGTATTTATATTATATGGACGTGTTATATTCATTACTATTATTTTTTCAGAGATTAGTGGGGACCACTCGACAAGCACAATTATGATTTAGTTTGCGTCTGAAATTAAAGTCTGATTGTTAAAATATATCGATGACTCAAATACTCCAATAACTAAGATTTGCTAAATCTTTCGTGGCTAACTACCAAATGTAAATCTTTTTGAGAAGGGATGAACAGTTTTGATTTGATGTTTTACCATCAACTAAGAAAAGAGAGCATATCTCAAGGAAGAAGACCTATTTGTATCTTTGCACTAAATTAATTCATTATCCATTGTAGTTAGTACTCCCTGTGAATCTATTTCCTTTTTGGTCCGTTCCAAAAAGAATGAACCCTTTCTAAATTTGGAAACAATTTAACTTAAACTTACAATTCTACCCTTAATGAGAAGCTTTTATAACCACACAAATACTCTGGACCCCATTTTACTCATTTAGGACAAAAAATTCCAAAAGTCTTTATTTTTTCTTAAACTCCGTGCCCAGTCAAAAAGGTTCACATAAATTGGAACGGAGGGAGTACTAATCTTTCACGTGAATATGAACAAATAATTGATAGGTAACTTCACAATTAAGTCTTGAATTCCATTTTGAAATCTGAGTACTTGGTTAAAATGGAACATTAGGAAAATGCAGATTAATTTGTACTAGTACTCTATTGGTCTCAAATTAAAGTACAATTAGGAGATGTTTTATAAAAATAAAATCTATTACATTAAAGGATCGATCAGGAAAAAGAGAGCATTGATATCACTAGACTGTTAGCTTTTATTAATTGAATCTGATAAAGCACTTAAAGAAAGCACAAGAAGACTCGTTTGCATTTCTTATAGACACTCCGCATAATATTAATATCACCACATTTTCTCTTTTTTTGCGTTTGCGTTTCTATTTCTCCACGACAAATCTCACGTAAATCATCAAAGTATATTTTATTTATTTTATCTGGTAAAAACAAGTTTTTATTGGGTAACCGTGGCAAGATAAGAGCAAATCTTATTCGATGCTGACAACATTCAATGAAAATGAGATAAATCTCTTGCAAAAGCTATCTCTAATACGTTTATAACGAGCTTTCTGGATAAAAAGAAAAACAAGAACTAAAATTGCTATGTCCTCAAGAACACTTCATCTAAAATTGGCCCCAAATTATCTCCTTTAATTGAAAAAAAAAATAATCTCAAATTCATACTACAGTAGACCACTTAAATCTAACATCTGATCCTGTTGGGACGCCCAGGAAATTAGTTGGATGGACCTCTTAAATAGTTCATTTAATGAAGTTGACAAGAAATTTCATCAACCTTTGTGGGGCTCGTAGAAATTTAAGGAGTTACCAGTCCATATATACACGTACTATTATCTACGAATAGATAGTCGCTCTGGACACAAACATGTGAATATAGGAAGATGGCAGATTAATTTTTGAGTTGAGCAGCAGGGGTTGGGTTTTCTTTGGAAATCTTAAGCAAATTTTCAATTAAAGAATATATTCATTAAGAAACATTTATCAGAGATGAAATCCATGATTCAAGAATAGAAGTACATGCACATGAATGCTACTTATCAATATTAGACTAGTTGAGAAAGATATTCCGTCCTTCATTCAAACACCTTATAACAAGGAACTAAAAATGTGCAGTTTTACAATCAGAGGTACCATGTCTAAAAAGGTGCCATTTAAAGAATAAACATGGTTACTAATTGTCTGATCAGGTGCTATACAAACATAACTATTTTCAAGAAGTGTGTTAATGTGCTTCTAAGCAAGTTTCATATGGATTTTCTAATAGTATATTATCATTGTTATAACATTGAAATAGCCTAAGGAAAAAGAAAATTCTTGAATCCTGTATAGGGCAAAATTTGTCATGCCAGGTGGCCGTTTAAAAGAATGACACGTGGAACTGAAGCGAACTATCCTATTTGGTACGGAAAGGAATGACATTCGTAAAAAAGCAATAAATACCTTCTGCCCGATGACACTAATGAAGAATATTCTACATCATTAAGTACGCTGCCCGTTACAAGGAATTTGGCATTTATGATCACCGTTACATCTTCATCAATGACCCTCATAATTGACATTAAAGAAGGGCATGACCCTAAGACCTCGTTCCCTAGACGTAGCTATAAATAGCGAGCTCTTTTATCATTGTAAAGGGAGGAAATTTCTGGCAAACAGATACCATAATCTACTCAAAGCTCTATACAATTTTATCTTCCTATTTTCAGTTCTTATTATTGTTGCACCCGGAGGCTTCACTACGGAAATCTTTATTTCTGTCGTTTTGTCTTCATATCAAGGCTAAGTGTTATATATTTCTTCAATTATCTTATTATTTCAGGAACGAATTAATTCACTTGTCTAGAAACCACGTATAAATTCAACTGTACCGTTTTACGGGTAAAACAGTTTGGCGCCCACCGTGGGGCCTAGACAGTCATGTAATTAAGTTGATCCTTGCCTTTTTTACTAACGTGTTTTGATCATTTTATCTTAGAAAAAATCATAAGAAATAGGAGATAACGGTGTTAACAACACATACAATCCCGAGGTTCGAGGAGATCAACCTTATTTCGAGGATTCAATCAGTGACACCCACAATGAAGAAAATGATGCCATGCTGGTACACGACAGGAGATATCCTTGATATGTTCGGGAAGCAACTTCAGGTGATGCTGAAGAGTAACATATTGTTGATGCAATAAGGGTCCTACAAGAGCAACAAGCGATCATTCTGGGCCACCTCACGCAGCATGATAAGGTTATGACGGAGATGAAGCAGGCGTTATCGGGGGCTTCCAATAACGCGAATACACGAGATCCAGTTCCTCACGGCGCTCCCTCAAATCAAACAACGCAGAGGGTCGATAATAACACCCCGAGGGGGGAGATTGGTTCTGATGGAGCTGGGGAGAGTGCATCCGGTCCCAATAACGAAAACGACCCCTTCAAAAATAAACTTCTACGGTTTATGAGGTCAACGCCCACATGGACTAAATCCCGGGGAACCACCAGTGTTGAAAGGACCGGACTCAAAGAAGTATACTCAGTTGCCATACAAACTGAGCGCGGCACCAGAATTAATCCCGAAGTGGTTCAAAATGCCCGATGTGCCAAAGTATGATGGTAATTCAGATCCTCAGGAGCATATTACCACCTATATGATGGCGGTAAAGGGGAATGATTTAGCTCCTCACGAGATTGAATCTGTTCTGCTGAAGAAATTTGGAGAGACTCTCACGAGGGGAGCCTTGACGTGGTATTCACTGTTACCCGAGCATTCCATAGATGCCTTTGAGATGCTCACGGATTCTTTTATTAAGATTCATGCCGGGGCTAGAAAGGTGCAGGCCCGAAAGGCCAATATATTCAGAATTGCACAAGGAGAATCTGAGTTGCTGCGAAAATTTGTTACCCGGTTCCAGAAGGAAAGGATGTTACTCCCGACTGTTCCAGACGAATGGGCGGCTGAACCATTCACCTAGGGACTGAATCCAAGAAGTTCAGACGCTTCTCGAAAACTGAAGGAAAGTTTGCTCGAGTTCCAAGCAACTACTTGGGTAGATGTACACAGCAGATACGAGTCAAAGATAAGAATTGAAGACGATCAGATCGGTTTCCCATCGTTGGCAAAGGGACATGAGAAGAATAAAAAAAATTAGAAGACTACTTCGACGCGGATAAATGGTCTTCCAGGGGCTGGTTTTTGCCCTACGAACGGACAGAAGGCCGTAGCAGAGGTTTCCGGTCAGCAGATAGATTCACTACCGATAGAAGGTCTGATCGCGGTAGGAACAATAGATCATTGCAGGATAAGGAAGCGCCATGTATGCGGGACCCTTCCTACCACAGACTATTAGAATACAATTTCAATGTCAGCGTAGTAGAGTTGGTATCAACTATGAGAAACATCAAATAGGCACGATTTCTGAAGCCGGTGAGATCCGATCCCGGCCAGAGGGATCCAAACTTATGGTGTGAATACCACGGGATGGATGGACACCGGACTGGGCTAAGAACAATTATGGTTGAAGAATGGTCATCTCAGAGAATTCTTGAGTGACCGGGCTAAGAACAATTATGGTCGTAACCAAGACAACGCGGAACCCTCAAAATCAGGGGAAGATCCCTTGCGCCAGATGATCAACGTGATCTTTGTGGTGAAGGAGATCAACAAGGTCACCTTTTCGGCAGCAAAAAAGACGAAAGTATCAATAACCCATAGCAAAAGGCTCCGGGTAGTCGCCGAATACGATATCACTTTCACGGAGGAGGACACAGATGGATTACTGCTACCGCACAACGACACACTTGTAATTTCTTTAAATGTGCTAGATTTTAAAATTAAACGTGTTCTAGTGGATCTATGAATATCGGCCAATATCATACAATGGAGAGTATTGGAGCAAGCTAAGCTCACTAGAAGCATCATTCCGGCCACAAAACTCCTTGCCAGATTCAACCTCGCGAGCGTGACTACCCGATGAGAGATTTTGTTACCCACGAGCGCCGAAGGAGTGATGAAAACAACTCTTTTTGAAGTAGTAGATGGTGATATGGGATACAACATTATTCTGGGAAGACCATGGTTGCACGAGATGAAAGTTGTACCATCAACAAATCATCAATTGCTGAAGTTTTCAATGCCCGAAGAAGTTAAACAGATAAGGGGTGACAAACCGGCAGCAAGGGAGATGAATGCAATTTCGATCTCCAGTAGCAAAGGAAAGGAACATGCGGCATAACAACTACAGGAACCGGCGCCCGCTCCTGAATCAGATGAAGTTAGCCCGGGGGTAGAAGCTTCGGAATCTTATCAGGTGCCGAGGTATTTTCAGGTTCCAGAAGAGACAGATGCAACAAAATCCACGGCATAAGAGCTTGAGCAAGTTGCATTGTTCGAAGAGTTCTTAG